ACCGCTAGGGGGCGCGCTCTGGCCGTGGCGCAGAGCCGAGCCCGAGAGGGGGCCTTGGCTCCGAGGACGCGTACCGCAGAGTCGGCGGGGCCTCCGGACTGCAGCCGGCTTTGACCCTCGCTGCTCCTTACCCGAGCTGTCACTCGTACACACCCCCGCCCCACTACCACGTCCAGGGTCGCCAGAAGCAGCAGCTACAGAGTAATGGCTACACCTGGGACGCCTTAACCCTGGAGGCATCCGGGGTCCCGCCGTCCAGCGTTGGAGAGGAGAAACCAGGTGGTGGTGATTACAGGGCGCCGAGAAGTTCCCTCTCGGGTCTGGAAACTTGGGGGAAGGGTGCAGTACGAGATGGGAGACTCCCGCCGAGGAACTCAGGGTGAGAGCCCAACCACTTGCTTCTCGCCAGTTGGAGGAGAGGAGACCCACGCACCCATCCCCATCGAGGGCAGACGTGAGGTAGCGCCCATCTCTCCTGGCTTTGTGCCTGGAGCAAGGCTCGAAAATTCCTCGATTGGCCGCCTGGTTGAATGACTGGGGATAGCGGGGAAGTCTGTTTTCTCTCTAGTTCTAGCTTCCCACCCCCTTCCCTGGCTGCTGAGGGGTAACCGAAAGTGGCGATGTTTGCAAATACGGGGAGTTGTCCTAACACGGTAATCATACCCACACATCCATACCTTGAGGGCTCGGCCATGGTCTTCAGGACGCTTCCAAATGTGCTGCTTCCCAATAGACCTCTCCCAGCCGAGCCCTGAAGGTGCAACCCGCGGCTCACGCGCATGACACCGCGAAGAGTGAAGGACTCACAAATGCCAAGGAGTCTTCCCCGGAAATCCAAGTTATCAGTCCCTTTGGACCTTTCCACGGAGCTGCTCCTTTGAAAACACAACGACAAACAAACACCGTCCACAGACAGATCCCAGCAGCCGTGGGGAGAACTGAGGCAGGGGTAGGGAGTGGAGGGCAAGAAGGGGACAGAGAAGGCGAGGGGCAAGTGCTAGGCAGGCAGATTATGTTACATTTCTTCCTATTACCAGACTGAGAGGAGGACAGATTTTTATTTGTGCATAAAATGCATACACTTAAGTAGATAAGACTCTGAAAGCAGTGTTTGAGGTTAACCTTGACTGGTTGGAGTTAAGGCAAGTGGGGGTAGGGGAGGCAAATATTTCTGTTTGTGCCCTCCGGCTCTTCCCAGCACCGGCTGTCAATCCCGGCGCTTGTTATCCTCACAAGGCTTCAGTTTGTTTGCCTGATCTCAGCAAGGTTTTCTTCCACAAGTAGAACTATAATTGCTATAATTCTACTGTATCATTTGGATCATTGCAGTATTGTTGTTTTCTCTCCCTCTTTCTCTCCTCCTAACACTGCAATAACGCGCTCCAGTGTTAAATTAGCAGGTTGCGGAAGACCATAAATGAATGAAAGTTTGTTAAAAAAAATTTAAATAAATAAAACAGCAAAATGACTTGGCAAAGGGGATATCACATCACAGAGGATCCTCGAGTGTAATCAGGACTTATTGTCTTCCCTTCCAATGGCTTCCAAATTGCTTGCCAGACTCCAGCGAAGTTTATTTCTATTGTTTAAATATATGTTTTGAAGAGGGTGAGCATAATTTAAGGAGACCTGAGCCGTCCGGTGAGTCTGGAAGCCTATTACATCTTTATTTATCTATGTGTATATTGTACAATAAATTAAAACATCTCAAATGAAAAGTGTGCAAGGTTAACTCTCCTCTAAACATTTTTTCCTCGATAATGACATCTAAGTGCCACCCCCTTATCCCACATTTCTTGAAAATATAATTTTGAAACTACAATGTAGAATTAGTTCTCACCACAGGAAAGAAAGGGGTTTGTTTCTTCTAGGTAATTATTATTTCCAGTCCTGGGGAGAAGCCTCATTTTTCACCACAAGCAACAGTTTTAAAGACTTCTGACCCTCACTTCCGGCCATAATAATCATTTTTACTTTAGTGATTGATTTTAAAGGAGATGAACTGCAAACTATTGTTTTCCAGGCAGCCTGGGGTGGGGGTGAGGGTGGGGGTGGGTGAGAAACAAACAACAAAGTACCAATATGAATAATATTACCACTAAAATGAAATTACTTTGGTTGGTAAGTAAAAGAAAGTGAGGTGGAAAGAAAGTGAAGTGTCATTTTGCTGACAGTAAATAACAAATTGGCTAAACTAAAAGTCCTTTTATACATAGTCCTACAAAATACAGCCCCAACTCTTACAAGTCTACCTACCAACAAATCAAATTCTTCCTAGATGTGAGAAGCATCATTTTGTTTTTTAAAATAACATATAGGATAACACAAATACATCTTAAACCCATATTCTGATGAGACCCTATGGAGACGCCAGCACAGTCTGTTTCCCCTTGGATATGTTCCTAAGTTTTCTGTGTGTGTGTGTGTGTGTGTGTGTGTGTGTGTGTGTGTGTGTGTGTGTGTGTGTGTGTGTGTTAATCTTTCAGGAATAGCAGGAGTCAATTATAGATTTTGAAGTTGGGTATTGAATTGTAACAAAGATCATTTCAGGGCTGCTGGGTGTAAAGTGAGCTGGGTCAGGTCCTTCCCCCAAGTGAATCAACTTAGGAAGATTGATTAGAAAATACCAAAAATAAAATAACAAAGGTAATGTTTTCACTCAAGTGCATCCCTAAGAAAAACATTATATTCCATTAATAGATTTAATTCCAGGGGTCATTAAGTCAGAATCAGAAACTCTATGTTCAGCTCCCCTTTCACAGTGGATGATTAAAATTAGGATACACACCAGCAGAAAGTCCGACTTCTTTTTTAAAATAAAGGAGAACAGCTGCAGAAGGGGGAGGTGGGGGACGGAAGCAAAGAAATCTACCGAGAGAGTTGAAACCCCGTTAGGCTCTCAGAAATGATTTGTGTGTTTGTGTCTCTTTTTGTTTAACATGATCTTTTGGGGACTCATTCTCAGCCCACTCCCAGCGCGTGCGGAGCCGACTCTTAAGTCACAGAGCCACCCGGCAGCCGGGTCTTGTGAATTTCCCATGCGAGGCCCAGCCAGGAGGGGAAAATGCCTCCGTTTCTCCCAGCTACTGGCCGCAGGGACGCCCGCGAGGGTCCGCGGCTGGAGGCTCGGAGGAAACAGACTCCTCTTTACGCCTCTCGGCTGCGTGGAGACCCATACACCGGGAGCGGGTTCTCGGGGCCAGAGGGGGGCGGGGATCAGCGCGCAGAATGTTAGTTTAAAGCTGAACGGGACAGTGTAAAAACACCGAACTGTTGGTGAGGATGGAAAAGGAAGAATGCAAGGAAAGCAGGAGAAGATCCTCGGTGCCTTGGTACAACAGAGAGGGCTTGAAAGAAAATCTCCTTCTCCCCCCACCGCCATCATCTAAGTGTAGGAAAACTTGATGAGAATCAAACTGAAAACCAGAGAGAGAGGCAGGGACAAAGAGAGAACCCTTTTCCTCTTGCCATCATTAGTAATAGTAATATCAGCATTAGCATTAAGAATATTAATGTGCCCGTTCCCAACCCCTCATCCTTCTCAAGTTGTGTCTTGAATGCTCCTGCCAAGCCATCCTGATCTGCCTGCCACCCACCCACCAGCATCCAAGAGTTATGCAGATGTTTATGACTGAAAAAAAAAAGCCCAGTTATGCATCCTTGTATTTTTAAATATCGACTGTAAGTGATTCAAGTATAATCCTTTGTAAAACGCTGTTCTCTTTGACACACTGAAGGGGTTGAGAGAGGAAAACCCGAAGTGGATTACCCCTCCCTGGCCCCTCTCCCACTCCTCACCCACGCCGCGACCATACAGCGTCGGGCTTCCTGGCTGTCCCTTGGGCCCGGAGCTCAGGCAAGGAGGGCGTCCGTGCTAGGCCCTCGCCTGGGTTTGGCCCATCTCAATCCGAGTTGGGTTTCAGTTCTCAGAGCTGGAAGCTCAGCAAGCTGTTTGAGAAGAAACAAGCTCTCCCTCAGGCTCATTAGCTCACCTTTGATAATGAGAGCCAGGCCAAGAGAATTCAGAATTTTAGGCACTTAGATTTAGTTGAAGCCGAACCTACGTCCCTCCCACCCTGGAGCGCTCAGAGCTTCCCCGCAGGTTCCACTCCCTGCGACCAAATGAGCGTGTCCGGCCTCAGGGTGACGCCAAACTAATAGAGGCAAACTTGTGGGGAGAAGAGAGAAGCAAGTCCAGGGAGAAAGGGGAGCCTCTGAGACCTGTCCCTCGCCTCCCCCTCACAGCTGACACTCGCCTCTTTCTCTGCCCTGTGGGTTTTCTAGGGAAAGCCGCTCTCCTTTGGCAGAGGTTTGTCTTTAAGGGGACTTTTTCTAGAGTTAGACGGAGATGAGAGAGGCTGGGGGAATTCTGCTAACAAGAGAGAGACCGCCGGGCTCAGCGCGAAGACCAACAGCTCAAGGCGTTGGGCCACAAGAGAAAACCGAGCGCCCAAATAGCAGATGTTTGTTTGCGGCCATCACCCTGGCACCTCGGAGGCCCGTCTGGCCAAAAAATGGGCAGCGATGAAGCACCACTGAGGTCAAGGCGCGATCTTGGAGGCGCGATACTGGTTTTGAAGAGTGCCAGGTCGGTCTCAATGAGAGCGTCAATGCTTCGCCTCTAGGGAACGAGGTCCTCCGGTTGGTGGAAGGGGCGCACTGTCGCCCAAGTGGCACCCACAGGCCTGACATCCCAATAAGCTAGAGTTTCGGGACACCCATAAAGGGTTAAAGGAGGAGCTGCAGGAAGAGGTTGAAGAACTTAGAAAGTTGTCAGTTAAAAAGAAAAAAAAAGTTTCGGGTGAGCGCCTGCTCCCCGCCAGCACAACCCGCACCCCCGCCCCACCCCCCAACCCGGCCGGCCTCTCCGGAATCCAGTCCGGGCTTTGAGCGGAGCCTGCAGCCCTACACAGCCCGGCCTCTACTGGGAGCCAATCAGAGGGCGCCTCTCAGCACGTGGAGCAGAGAGACTCCAGATCTCCGCGCCCGCCGCTCACTACACTTGTTACTGCCTGTCCGGAGCGCGGACAGGGCGAGCTCCGGCCGCGGACAGGGCGAGAGCCGGCAGCCTGCAACCGAGAGAGGCACAGAGATCGCAATAATATCCATTATAACCAGCCACCTAAACCCACCCCTCAACACACACCCATCCATCCCATCCTCCAGGAGAGGCAGCCCGCGGCCCGCTCTCTGCGCCCAGGGAAAAAGCCCCAGCCATGAGCAATCAGTACCAGGAGGAGGGCTGCTCCGAGAGGCCGGAGTGCAAAAGTAAATCTCCAACTTTGCTGTCCTCCTACTGCATCGACAGCATCCTGGGCCGGAGAAGCCCGTGCAAAATGCGGCTGCTGGGAGCCGCGCAGAACTTGCCCGCCCCGCTGGCCAACCGCGCCGACCAGGAAAAGGCCGTGCAAGGTAAGGCTGCTCCCGCTAGGCACCTGCAAAGGGCGCTGGCACTGCTTTGGATATTTGGTGTTCGGGGTCAGGGGGCCTGGGGATGTCAAGTTGGAAACAGGAAAGAAGGGGAACAATTCCGAGGCCTGGTGCCTCAAAGAGCGGTGAACCTCTCGTCAGGGGCTCTTATCATCCTCCCTCTCTGGTTCCAGAAAAAGCTGAGGCCAAGCTTTGCTTTGGGGGCCTTTAGATTCTCGGTGTTGCTCGTTTAAATGCCCCTGTTAGTGTTCCTGGGGATGTTCTTAAGAGGGGTGACAGATCAGAAACTGCAGGTGCGGGTGGACCTTCGTAACAACTTGAAGACAAGAACCCCAAAAGCTGTGAATGGGGGTCTCCAGACAGAGTGAGCCTTGGCCTTTCCTCTTTGGAAGAGTTCTTTATATGCGGTGTTTTTGCTTCCCCCCCCTTCTTTCTTTTTTAAATGGTAGATTACTTGTGACCTTTCAATCCCAAGCTTTGCAGAAAACATCTCTCTGGGAGTTCCCCAAATGTTCCTTACTGTATTTGAAATTATGAAATGTGCAGCTTCTGTGGGCCATTTTTCTCTGCTATGTTATTTTTTTTAATAGAGTTGGGGTGTTTAAACTGTTTTATTTTTTCTAAAATTAAAAATTCCAGAACAACTGTCGTTTTTCCCTGAACCTGTTATGCTCAAGTTTTGCCTTGAGCTGACTTAAAGAGCTGTCGCAGGGAAAAAATTGATTTCTTTTAAAATCCGAAAAACCAGCGGTCCAGCCGCAGCGTCACTTAGAAGACAGGAGAGACAGTGGAGAAGGGGGCGTCTAAAATAAAACTGACTTTTTTCCTTTTCTTTTTTTAGCCTGCAGTGGCACCTGTGCCAGGCACTTCCTCGAAGGGAAGGAGCAGCCTGTGCCTGCCTGTTGCACCCCCTTCCGCCCCGACCCAGGCCTTTCTGAACCCATTTGCTCCAGGACGATTTTCCTTTGCCTTTCTGTGCAAGGAGCCCCAGACCCCTCCCGCTGCGGGCTGTTGGGGTGCGGCCAGCGCTCAGGGCCACAGGGCCGCTCCCCCCACAGGGGTCGCCTGCGGGGCAGCTCCCCCCTCGCCAGCCTGGGCCCGCGTGGCAGAGCAGTGGGCAGAGGTCGTGTGCAAAGTTTTCAGGGCGATGATTTTTTTTTTAAGTTGCTAAATGTTTTCAGATTCTCCCCTGCTCCGAAATGCGAATGGGGGGTAAATGAGAGGGCAAGGGAAAAGAAAAAGAAAGGAAGAAAGGAGATGAGAAGGAAGAGGCGCACAGAAAGAGAAAGGAAGGCAAGGGGAGAGGAAAAAGATAAGGAAAGAAAGGGAGAGATGAGGGAAAGAAAAAGAGAGGTAAAGAAAAATGAAAGTTAGAGAGGTAAAGGTTAGCAGAAAGGAAAGGGAAGAGTGGGAGAGGGAAAGGAAAGAATGGAGGGACGGAGGACTAGAGGACGGGAAAAAGAAGGAAACAAGAGAAAGGGGGAAAGAGTGAGGAAGACGTAAATAAAAAGAAAAAGCAAGAAAAGTGGAGAAGGACAAGGCGAAGTCCAGTGAGGTGGGGGCGGGTGGGCACCTGCGGGGCCGAGGCTCCCAGAGAGCAGGGCGGGCGGCCCCGTGGGCGGCTCTGGCCGGGACGCCTGGCCCGCCGGGGCCCTGACTGCTCTCCCTTGCCCGCAGGCTCCCCCAAGGGCAGCAGCGCCCCATTCGAGGCCGAGCTGCACCTGCCGCCCAAGCTGCGGCGCCTGTACGGCCCGGGAGGGGGCCGCCTCCTCCAGGGCGCCGCGGCGGCGGCTGCAGCGGCGGCGGCGGCGGCGGCGGCGGCCACGGCCACGGCAGGTACGCGGGGGGAGGCCCCGCCACCGCCGCCGCCAGCCGCGCGGCCTGGGGAGCGGCCGGACGGCCCGGGGGCCGCCGTGGCCGCCGCCGCCGCCGCCGCCGCGGCCTGGGACACTCTCAAGATCAGCCAGGCGCCGCAGGTGAGCATCAGCCGCAGCAAGTCGTACCGCGAGAACGGGGCGCCCTTCGTGCCGCCACCGCCTGCGCTGGACGAGCTGGGCGGCCCGGGGGGCGCCGCGCACCAGGACGAACGCCTCGGCGCTGCCGGCGGCCCCGCTGGTGCCCCGGCGGCGGGTGGCGGCACGGGCGCCGAGGACGACGAGGACGAGCTACTGGAGGACGAAGAGGACGACGACGAGGAAGAGGAGCTGCTGGAGGACGACGAGGAGGAGCTGCTGGAGGACGACGCCCGCGCGCTGCTCAAGGAGCCCCGGCGCTGCGCCGTGGCTGCCCCCGGAGCGGTGGCCGCCGCCGCCGCCGCCGCTGTGGCCACCGAGGGCGGGGAGCTGTCGCCCAAGGAGGAGCTGCTCCTACACCCAGAGGACGCTGAGGGCAAGGACGGCGAGGACAGCGTGTGCCTGTCTGCGGGCAGCGACTCGGAGGAGGGGCTGCTGAAGCGCAAACAGCGGCGCTACCGCACCACGTTCACCAGCTACCAGCTGGAGGAACTGGAGCGGGCCTTCCAGAAGACGCACTATCCCGACGTCTTCACCAGGTATGCTCGAGGGGTGGCCGCGGAGGCAGCGGCTGGAGGGCGCAAGCAGGTCCCAGAAAGGGAAGGCGGGTGGGCAGGGACCCCGGGCGGGGGCAGGGACTTGGCTCCCGGAATGTACCCACGAGCGCCCTCGCAACACACGCACCCGCTGTTCACCCAAAATTTTACCCACTATCCCCAGCCCCGCCCCCCAACACACACTCAGGGATTCGAATTTGGACTGGGATGAATTCTTTCCTTCCCAAGGTCTCTCCGGTTTAATTTTTTCGAACTACAAGTTTTAGTTAGAGGAAAACAAACCGCCTCTCGGAAGGGCGCCCGATTGCGCCACTCCGGAGACGCGCGCGCCCCAGCGCACACAAGACCAGGGCCCTGGCGCTGCAGTTTCTGCCCGGCCCCCGGCAAGGCGAAGGAAGCGGTGCCTGCCCTCACAGCCAAAGCAGAGCAAGGGCTATTTTTGGCCGCTGTGTGGTGCGCTCACCACCCCAGCCTGATGCCTCAGGAGCCTGCTGGGTATCAGTTACGTCGTTTGCAGTGAAGCTGGAGTCCTTGCCTGCAGAGAAGGCCTTTAGAAAGATCCAAGTTCTGTCTCTTCAGGACTCCTGAAATAACCGAAGGAAGTCAGAGCTGGACACTATTTGATATCTGTATGCTTGGAGGGCACCTGAATCTTCCTCTCTCTCCCCACACACATTAAACCCAGCATTTGTTTAATGTACGCGGGTTTAGTCAGTGATTGCTGGGAGCCTGGCAGGCAGTAGACAAAACAGCTGGGGCGATTTTTCTCTTTGGATGGGTGTCCAACCCAGGTATTCCACCTGCTCAGGCTCCACCTTCCACTTGTCCCAGTGTTTTCGTGTATGTGCCTGTGAGATGACTGGCCTCCTGCGCCCCAGCTTATTCATCTGACTTGGGGTGGCTGCCGGGCTGGGGGCTGTTTTCTCCCACCCAACGGCCAAGGTCTGGGCTCAGGCAAGGAGCCAGGGTTAGGGCAAACTTTCTCCAGTGGGGAGGGAAGGAAAGATGGGTGTTAGCCTGGTGCGGGACTTGTCACGTGCAGGCAGCTACTTAGCAGGAGACTGTGCCGCTTTTCAATATGCATTTTAGAAGCGGAAAGCTGCTCACCCGTTTGAACCGGAGGAGAAAGGCCTGCTTAGGGCTCAGGAGGCCCGAGCCAACTCTAAAGTAGAGTTGGTCTGGCAGTTAATTGCCAAACTCTCTCCTAACCAGAAACAGAAAAGCGCAAATTTGATGTGGGGTGAACGCACTAAACTTGGCCCTCCCCTCTGTCATCCAGTCCCTTCGTTATCTTTAAAAAAGAAAATTAAAAAATTAGTGTGTGCTATCAAGTAGCTAGATAGCCAACCGCTTTTTGCATTTATCACACATGTGTATTTCCAAAGAAAAAAATGTCAGTTGGCATCCGGCTCTGCCCTTTGTTAGCTGCTCCAGGGGGAACCGTTGTACGGAAAGGTGGTGCAGCTCCCCTTCTGCACCCCATGCGCACCTCTTTTGGACCCAGAGGTTAGTTAGGGCCCATTGGCTCCCGCCTGAAACCAGCCAACTGTGCTTTTCGCTTTGCTTATGCTTACTGTGGAAGAGGGCAACCGAAAGCGCTTAGTGAACCGGTTTTCTCCCGGTCTTGAAGTTTCAGGTGTGGACCAGGGGGCTTGCCAGCAGTGCAGACCTGGGGAGCCCAGGCTGGAGCAGCCCCCACTCTCTCATATTAGCGAGCAGAGAGCCAATTATTCTCCGCTCACTCATATTTTCGGTAAACAGATTGTAAGCCGTTTTACAGCATCTTAATGGTTTCCTATTTGCCTTAATTGTCGCAGTAATAACTGCAATGATGGGGTAGGGTTTCAGTTAAATTGACTTCCCCTGAGATGGGCAGGGTTTGCAGTGGGCACTGGAGTCAGGAGGTGCGCAGAATTTTTGTTTAATCGAAAAATTACCCCACTGAACTCTTAACAAGCTTAACATATCTCCAGAGGGTAATGGGAAGTATGACCCAAGGGGGTGAGGGAGGGGGGAAGGCGGGGGAGAGAAAGGTGGATAGAAAGGCAGAGAGCTGTGAAGCAAGGGAGAGAAAGAAAGGAGAGGAAAAAAAAATTTTAAGGCAATAGGAAGAAACCAAGAGGGTGAAAATATTTTTAGTTGAGTGCTGAGTTCTCCCATTTAATATTAGGACAAAACGGTATGAATACTGTGTGCGTGTGTGTGTTTCTATTCTAACTCTGGCTTAAGAGGGAGAGAGAGAATCTGAGTGCCCAGTTTTATGGACTTCTGACTAGAGCCACCCCTGTCATTCTTGGATATAATATGACACAACATAATATCCTATATCTGGCAATGTGTTGTATGTTTTTTTATGTTTTCCAATAGTAGGCAATGCAGTGGTGCAGGGATGGTGATGCCCCTGTGTTTGAGGATGAGGGCAGGCAGCCAGGGGAGACGTTAATGGAGGAGGCCTGCAGGGGAGGGGTGGCTGAGGGGGTTGCTGGAGCCTGCAGTGACCTCCTGTTGGTGTGTTTCTTATAGGGAGGAACTGGCCATGAGGCTGGACTTGACTGAGGCCCGAGTCCAGGTGAGCTGCACCGCAGAGAGGAAGGACAGGAGGGGAGGAGGGGTGGGTGGAGAGCGGGAGAGAGAGATGGATTGATGGATTTGGGGAGTGTCGAGATCCCCTTTATAAAATAAAGAGAAACAGAATCAGAAAAACAGACTCAAACACACAAAAAGATACTCAAATATGAAGACCTAGGAGGTTGGAGGGGAAAGTTTTCTGGGTTTGGAAGCCTTAAGGAAGGAGTCCTGGATCAGAAAAGGGGTTTCAGGGTTCCTGAGACTGCAGTTCAGGAGGCCCCCTCCCTACCCCCGCCCCCAGCCCAGTAGGAAACAATCCCCGGACTGACTTCTCCTGATTGAAATAATGGGATGGAGCATGGATTTGGTTGTTAGACAAATCCGCTCAGTTCCAAGCAGGTATTTGGCTGCGATTAAGTCTCCAATCGGGCTTCATAAAAGCCCACTTAGTGCTAGAACAAACAGGGCCATTTGAAGGCAAAATGCTGTTTGATTTCCCCTCCGCCCGCACAAGGAGCTGGCTAATGCTATTTGATTTCCCATTTTTTATAGCAATGAGCCCACATTGATCTAATAGGGAGTGAGTGCAATGCTATTAAAGGTGTTTGCAGCCCCATACCAGAGTGCATTTCCGAACCCAGGCCTCATAACCAAAGAGACGATCAACACTGGGCAGCCCCAATGGCCAACAGAAAACAGATGTCCCTGCGTTAGGAGCTGAGTGAATCACTTTACAGTCAAAATCAAGCGCTGATAAAGCACAATAAATTCCATATGGCTCATTTAATACACAACAGCTTCTTGCATTAGAGGGCTAATGATGAGGCCTGTCCCCTCCTTTCTGTTGACACATTTCTCCATTGTCAAACAGAGATGTGACAGCAACTCCGCATTTTCAGCTCAGGAGAGCAAGTCGTGGGAAAGTTAAATAACTTTTAAAAAGAAGGAGAGCGCCCCCTCCCCTTCTCCACTCTCCCTATTCACTGGAGAAGATGTAATTAAGTGAATATGAATTATTAGAGTCCTTTTATTTACCTTTGGGGGGCCTCAGAGGTATTAATTCAATAATGAGGAATTGCAGGGGGACATCTTGATAATTGCGGTTGAGCCAGGAGCAACGATCCGTCTGTAAAAGGTTTCCATGTTCTTTGAGGGCATTCTGCCTCCATGGCCCCCTCCCCTCCTTTCCTCCTTTCACTGCCCTCCAGGAGTGGGATATTCTTGTCTAGACAGATTTGGATACACAAAAGCTGCCCACCCTGCCTGGTCCCATCTAGTCTTACTTTTTCAAGCTTCTGAATATCCACACTAGACTATTTCTGCAATTCATAAATAGATTATTTGAAGGCTGTGGAATGTTATGGATGGGCCCCTTTATAGCAGAATTTTAAGTGATCAGCCAGATTTAGATTCTCGATTTTTCTTGCCCTGGGTGGCTGTCTAGAAGTCAAGCCAAGCTTAGATACTAGTGCTAGTAATGACAACCCCCAGTATGTACATTTGAAAGACATGGATGTCTTTCAAATTTTTTAAACATATTCCTCTGGAATCATTTACATTATATTTTAATATAGCTCTGTATAGCCCTGGAGTTTATTCTTAATTTTTAGACTTGTGTAGAGGCATAAACCCAGCCCTAAAAATATTAATGCCTTCAGGGGAGAAGGAGCATATCTGAGCTTGTGGGTGTGACAAGCAGGTCACATAAAAATAATTCCATGCTCCTTAGAGTTATTTTTAGACTATGGTAGCTGCCACATTTCAGGTAAAGGTCTCTACTAAAACTGCCTTCTATTAACAATTAGGAAGATACCTTGTGCTGAAAGCCTCCCCCAAGCCTAGAACTATCTTATTTAAATAACCTATTTAAACCACACCCCCAAAAGAAAGAAAACTTGTTAGCTCTGAAGATGTGGAAAGGCTACAGGTATCCTGCACCCTGATGTCTGTGTGTCCAGGTATTGCTGTATGCTTAGCCAGGCAGTCAGTGCCTTCCTGGGAAGAACCCCACCGTGCATAGAGCCCCAGCAGATAGTAGACTGTATACCTTGTATTTCATTTGATGGAGAACTGACCCCCGAAAATGTATGCTTGTCCGTTTGGGCATTTCTTCCCTTCCTCCCAGCTCTCCCCAACCCCAGAACACAGCCTAATGCTGGTAGGTGTTAATAAGTATTTCTGGAAAAACTAAAGGAACCGCCTCCCTGATTCCCTTTTGAGTACAGAGCAGGGATTTTGCCAGCTCTTGGGTAAATCTGAAATAGGTGGAAATACATGTGGGGGAAAAAATGGTGGAAGAAGGTATGCAGCAAAAATCTGATATGCATTCATCTCTCTGTGGCTTCAGAGAATCTGAATACCAGCTTTCACATACCTTATACTCATTCCACATAACAGCCTAATGAGTAAAGTTTTATTATCACCATTTTACAGATTAGAAAACTGAGTTTAAGAGAGGTTTAAGAGACCTGCCAAGACGAACAGCAAGCAAATGGCAGCGCAGACATTTAAACCTTGGTTTCCAGATCTCTAAACACACGGAAACACTTTACTCAAACTTGGAAAGGAGCTAGGCTAGCTGAAATACCTGCTGGAAAGGGTTTGCTTGCCCCCCATTTCCTGGTGGCTTTAAGTTTGGGCTCCTTTTCAGCGCCTATTTGGCCCCAGAGGTGTCTTTGAACAACGTGAGGCCGGAGAGGGGCGCGGTGGGCGCGGGCCGCGGTGGAGGGGAGGGCCCGCAACGAGGGGTGATAAGGCGGGGGTCGCTCCCTGAGTGCCCTCCGGGCCAGAAGCCACGCAGACCCAGGTTCTCTCCGCCTTGCAGGTCTGGTTCCAGAACCGTCGGGCGAAATGGCGCAAGCGGGAGAAGGCGGGCGCGCAGACCCATCCTCCGGGGCTGCCCTTCCCCGGGCCGCTCTCCGCCACCCACCCGCTCAGCCCCTACCTGGACGCCAGCCCCTTCCCGCCGCACCACCCTGCGCTGGACTCGGCCTGGACGGCCGCTGCCGCTGCCGCCGCCGCCGCCTTCCCGAGCCTACCTCCGCCTCCAGGCTCGGCCAGCCTGCCGCCCAGCGGGGCGCCGCTGGGCTTGAGCACTTTTCTTGGAGCCGCCGTATTCCGACACCCGGCCTTCATTAGCCCTGCGTTCGGCAGGTAACCCGCGGCCTCGGGGAGTCTGTCTGTCTGTCTGTCTCTCTCATACACACACAGCAGCTGGGGTCAGGGATAAGGCCAGGACAGGCAAGGGCTACCCTCATTTCTTCTCTTTGCCTAAACCTCAGATACTTAGCCAAAGAAAATACTCTCTAATTCTCTCTCTCAAAAAAAAAATGTGTATCTTGAAAGGAATGACTTGGGACTTGAGCGGCAAAGGGGAGGGCAGTGGCAGTAACAACATGAAAATTGCGAGTGTTCAGTGAAAGCTGTAAAAGTACTATTCGAAGGCAGCAACAGCCTGGGCCATAGGTGGTAATGTGTAAATATGTACAGGTGTAAGCTACAGAGCTGGCATGACTTTTCAAGTTTTGCAAAAATCCTTCCTCATGCCTGTCAGTCAGAGGAACACAGCCCTGGTTCCTCAGGAGCCCTGGAGCCTCCGGCCCTCTGAATGCAAAGAATTCTCTTCTTCCCCAGACGCTAACTTCCTTGTCACTCAAGTGACCCCGCTGCCAGCATACCCCCATATGTGCAACACCCGACCCTCACGGCGGCACAAGACAACGAAATAAAAGGAACAGTTCATGGTATATTATAACTCCTTTTCTTTAAATGAACAGCGAATGATGAAATATAAAGTCTGTATAATCACACAGACAAAGAAACAAAGGAGGATGTATTAAGTTGGAAAGTGCAGTGAAAATAAAACTGAATGCAGCTTCAATGATCTCTCTTTGGAAGAACAAAGAAGTAATAGATTCATCTAACTGCGCAGCCACTTAACAAAAATCATCCTAGAGAAAAATTTCAAAAGACTGTTAAGTAAAATTGGTTTCTTGTAACAAACCAAAAAAATAAACCCTGCACTGAAGCGTAGTTAGTGACTCAGTTTACCTAGTGGAACCAGGGCATGTTACGCCCTCTCCAGGCCACTCTATTTTTCTTTCTGGGGAAAAAAAACTAAGTCCTGTGTCTCTAGTACACCCCTCCCCGCCCCCCCACCCCGCATCTCTTTTCCCTTCTGGCAACAAACGACTTGTAAAAGCCGACAAACCACTGCTGGAGTACCGGGCTGCCAGATCTGGAGACGCTGGAAGAGCGGTGCGGTGGGGGTGGCATGAGGGGTGGAGGGCAGGCTTGGGAGGAGCAGGAAGCTCTCAGAGAGCCCTAGTGGGTTCATTTCGAATCGTGGAAAACCGGAGTTGGCCCTGCGCAGGCCTGGAGCCAGAGCCCCGGGGGGAAACAGCGGGGACAGGGGTTAATGCGGGTGCCTCCGGCTTCAGCTCCAGGTCCGCGCGAACCGAGAAGTGGGTGGAGGTGTCGCGCGGAGCAATCCCGGCGCCGCCCGGAGGTGGTGGTGCATACTGAGATTCCAGGCTTGGGCGTTGCCATGCGCTGTGCGCGGGGGTCGCAGATCCGGGGTCTCTTTGGGGCAAGAGGCTGCAGGGGCGCAGGGAAGGCGGCGGGGGAAGGGTGTCGCCGCGCCTGGACGCGGGGCAGCTGGCGGGTCATAGCGGCCGGTCCAGCAGAAATCAACAGGCGGGAGGGGGAGGGCCACGGGGGGTGGGGAACGCCCCACCTCACGGTCAAATCTCAGGCACTGGCAGCGCAGCCTGGCGTGCGAGGGCAGCTGAGCCGGCGGGAAGGCCGGCAAACAGGACCGGCTTTTCCGGGGCCAAAAGAGTCCCCGGTGGAGAAGGCGCCCTAGAGGAAGTGCGATGTCCGCGGCATAGGTCTGGATCACTTTTGATCCCACCTTCTCTCCTCTTTTTTTCTCCTTTCTCTTTCTTTCTCTTTGTGTCTCCCATTCTCTCTCCCGGCAAATAGTATTGCAGGCAGTTGGAGGTCCTGGTCTGGGAATACACCCTCTCAAGCGAAACCCGCGCGCAAAAAAAAAAAGCGAAACCGTGGGGGTTGTGCGCCGCGGGACCTGCCTCCCGCCCGGCTTTGGCCCCTCCGGGAATATCTGGTCGCTTGGTCTCTTTTTTTTGTCCGTCGGTTCCGTGCTCTAGTAAAGCCCTCCGAGTGCTGCAGCCTCCGCCCTCACCCCACCTACTCCCCAGCCCGCGGCCCGCCCTTGGTCCGCGGCTCCGCACCCGGGCGGCCGTGCCCCTCCGCTCCCCTGGTGAGAGGGGCTGAAACGCTGCCAGAGGCGCCGCGCTGAGCGCCCGAGGCCGTGACCCCGCTGTTTGCTCTCCCTGCAGGCTGTTTTCCACCATGGCCCCCCTAACCAGCGCGTCGACCGCGGCCGCGCTCCTGAGACAGCCCACGCCGGCCGTGGAGGGCGCGGTGGCGTCGGGCGCGCTGGCCGACCCGGCCACCGCGGCCGCAGACAGACGGGCCTCTAGCATAGCCGCGCTGAGGCTCAAGGCCAAGGAGCACGCCGCGCAGCTCACGCAGCTCAACATCCTGCCAGGCACCAGCACGGGCAAGGAGGTGTGCTAAAGGCTGCCCTCCACCGTCGCGCCCCGGGTGCGCCCGAAAGGTCACCTCACTCAGCACCACTCAAGACCAAATGGAAACAGAGGACCAGCACACTCCCGAGACGGCACTGAGAGAGCGCAGCCGCCTTCGCAGCAGCCTGGACGCGGGCAAGGCATCCCTCGGCGCTACCGGACGTGGCACCTCCTCGGCTGGCTGTCCACCCTACCCTGTCCCTGCCCCTGCCACTGCCAACCTCGCTCCAACTGCAACGTCCAGTCTCTCCCGTTCTTTCTTTACTGAAAATCTCGGGGGAGGAGGGGTTCTCCCCAAGACGCCTGGTATTGAAGTTAAAATTTTTAGAAGCTCAACCTCTCTTCCTCCTGACACTTCACTTGCTTTTTTTTTTTTTAATAGCATTTTGGCGCTCTAGGTTGATCTCCCCAGCGTGGGCCCCGGCGTGTAGCCAGGGCCAGGGAAGTGAATGCGAATCTGTAAGATAGCTAATAGTGCACTTAACCGAAAGGGGCGTCTTGTTCTTGTTCTCTTCTTTATCATACAACAACCAAGGTTTTTATATCAAACCAAAGGGAAATACTCCGCTAGAATATGGACTGTTGAAGTCACCAAACTGTGATAGATTCTGTACATACCATTGTTATTAAAAAAAAAAAAAAGAACAGAGCTTTGTATATTTGAAATGTTATAACGCAATTGCACTCAGCGTGGTATGGTAAAAGTTTGTCCTCCTGTAGATACTTACTGTGTTGTAGATACGGTAGGGTTCCTAGACAAATATTTATGTACTCAAGCCCTTTATTTAACTTATTAACTGTAGAAGCTTCTGCAACCTTCCCGATAAAAGCAATGGTACAGTACTTTTGTGTAATGTGTACTTGTTATCACTTTTCCTTGCTATCTAGTGGAGAAGTGTCACGCTCAAAATAAAAAAATTATATGTTTAACAAAAGGAAGTATGAATGCTCTATGTAGACGCTGAGGGGACAGTAGAACTGGGCCCCCCAGAGGCCAGGGGTGAGCTCTGCCGCCCCAGCACCTCCTGGGTTTATCTGCTCGCCCGTTTTCCTGGCAGAGGCCCCTGGTTTGAATCTGATCCTCAGAGGATCTGGGTTTCCTACAAAGGTTAGGAATGCTGCCGCGGCGCTTTCCATGAACATCTCGCCTCCCCCCATTCCCGGTCGTGTCGCAGCTGGAGCTGGGGGTCCTGGGCTATGGAGGTGGGGTGGGCTTGAGGGTGGGTAACGGTTGTACGGTAAGCGTTGTTGACAGTGGAGACAGAAACTTAGAGCGAGCGGGAGTCCTGGCTCAGAAGTCGAAGGAATCTGCTCGTGGAAAGTGCCACGTAGCAAGGACGTGTGCAGTCCGAGATGACAGGTACGGCAAGAGCGAGAAGCCTTGATGCTGGCTTCAGAGGGGGCGGGTTTCCAGGTACACTAGTGGGGAGGAGGTTGTGTGTGTGTGTGTGTGCACGCGCGCACGCGCGCGCGCGCGCGCGTGTGTGTGTGTGAGAGAGAGAGAGAACGCAGGAATAATGATGGAAAGGCGGCGAGGGGTACCCAAGTGGCAGATTTTAACTCGACAAATGTCATTACATCACTTATCTAGGCATCCGAAAATGTATACATTAAAAAAAAATCGAAACAACTCAGGTTTCGTGAGGAGATCCAAACAGATTTACAATCCGTAATCCCCTTGCTGCACCCCTCCCCGCGCCAGGGACCGTCGCCTCTCCCTCCCCCTGCCCGCGCCCCTCCGGGTGACCGCTCCGCGTAAGCCTGCCCGCGGGGGCTGGGTCTCGCCAACGCTCTCGGGGTGATGGGAAAGGGAAGAGAAGCTTAATTAGTTTCAATTTGCAGTAATTAGCGCGCTGGACCTTTGGGGAGAGGGGCAGGCGGCGGGGGGGTGGGGTGAACTCCGCGGCGTGACTACCGCGACTCACGGAGCTGGTGCCTGCCGCCCCGCCAGGCCGCGGGCCGCTCGGTGGCCGCTAAGGGCGCGGCGCGTCCCCAGGCAGGCCCGTCGGGCTCCGCGCGCGCTCCCAGGCCGCGCCCTGTAGGAGGGGGGCGGGCCCCTCGCGCGCGGCCTGAGAGCACAAGTGTGCGCGGCCGAGGGGCAGGTGCGGGGTCGGGCAGAGGTCACCGGCAGCTCGGGATGGGCAGGCCTTTCAGCAGCTGCCGAGCTCTCAGGCCCCGGCAACCTCGGCTCACCCAGCCGGCCCAGAAATCGGGGGTCCCCCGCCCGCTGGGAACCTTGGGGAGAGCGCCCAGGGGCCTCAGGGGTCGAGGCTGCTTTTCGGACTTCGGCCGTCGGGTAATCACCGCCACTCTGCCGGTCCCTGGAATCGGGACGCAGGCGCTATCAAGCAGGGGCCCGGCCTGGGCCTCGGGGAGCAGGCCGCCAACTACCTTTCCTTAGCGGTTCCCGCCACTCCTTTCTCGGGTTCAGTAGGCAGGGGAACTTCCGGTCATGCCCCCAGATCTGACTCCACAGGGTGTCCTGGGGTGAAGGCAGCTTTCCTGGGGTGGGCCGGGTTACTCAGGAGTTTGGGGTGGAGGGACAGGGGACTGCAGGAGGAATTCACAGGAAAGGACATTTTTTTTGGTGGTCATTATCAATTTTCCGTGGATTTTGGCTTTTTGTTTAGGTAGGGCTTTTTACCCCCCTCCAGGCAGCCAGTTGGATGGTATACGGGCAACAGTACCATTCTTCCTGTTAATGAACTCTTTTTTAAGTCATTTTTTCTCATTTGACCCTTCCATGGAGCAGAAGCAAATTGCGTGAAATTACCTCCAAGGATTACATTTATTACTGGCCAATGAGAACCCCTCGCCTTGTTTTACAAACTCTTAATCCTATGTCATTCTGATGCCGCAAACAAGCCGGGTCCTGGGCCTCCTATTCTTTCAACTTTGCCCAGCTGGAGGGACCTCATTCTGCACTTAATATTCCCCATAAATATCACACGCTAAAGACCCCCTGACTTTCAGCAAGTCCACATTAAACATGTGACATGTCACGCATGACAAACTCTGAGTATCTTTTCAAAGCAGCATTAAAAGCAAAGAAACCAATTTTCTTCTCCTTCCAAACCTCCCCAAGTGTTGAATGATGGGGATTGGAAAGAGCCACTGGAGCGTACTTAGGGGGATTTTATGAGATTTTCCAGAATGATTTAATCTTATTGTGAGCATTATTAATGAATGGCAACCCAATTTGGCCCCAATATCTGGGAACGCAGTCACAATGCTGGGAGCGGCTAACACCCCCTCAAACCCAACCTTAAGTAAACCTATTCTACCACCGAGGAGGATGTGCGGGGCCCAGGGGAGTTCAGGAGAGCCTCTGTGTTAGGGGCATGACTGTTCCCTATCATAGCCAGGGCAGAATGCCCCATCATCTGCTTTCTCAGGGCCACCCCCACAGCATCTTGGGGTGAGGGTGATTGGGAGCCAGGTCTAGGCCTCTGTGGGATGAGGGGAAGGGGTAAATTAATTTGCTACATTTTCAGCCAGACTAGCCAGATATGGATGAGGCCCCTGAAAGGAAAAGGCAAGAAGGGAGCAGTTGGTGTATTCTCAGAAGGCATCCCCAAGTGTTCTCTCACCAACTACCCATGGCCTGGGCTGTGGACAGTGTAGTTAGGGTGGACATCTTAGGCTTGTGGTGAGGAAGCAAGAAAGTGGGTGAATTAGGGAGAGTGACTACTGAAGAGATTTGGGATAACTACGGACTTGAAACTCAGTCTTCAGCTGAAGTCTCACAGGTATCGGCCTCAGCCAGTTTCCCATTTTTTTCTCCTATTACTACCAACTGGGGCAAACATTTGTTATTGTTGTTTTTGACTTGTATAACTAACAGACAAGGCACTTGTGGTTCTATTTTTCATATCCCTTTGAGTGCAGAGATCTTACTAGAATGGAAAAGGTGGCTGGTGTTAGGGGAAAGGAAATTATACATGCGTTAGATCAACTTGCTTTTAGAGGTAAAAAATGTGTACGTGGGCATGTGTGTATGTGTATACACAAAAGTGAGCATGTCTGAATGAAGGGGTTCTTAAGAGGGGCCTAAAATGGTTTTTTTGGAATACCGAGTTCCCCAGAGTAACTATCTGTTTAACAGGCTGGCTGGGGGTGGGGAGAAGAAAACCAGCTACCTGATAGGAAAAAGAATTTTTCAAAGGACCAAAGTTGTTGTCCCTGGACGTTATTAACGGTCCAGTTTGAAGTATACATTTTTCCCTTTAAAGAAAAGGGAGCGATTACCAGTTATACATTAAGAAACGTCATTCAGTCATTTTTATTCATTCTCCGGAAATGTTCGTAAAAGCCTGAATCATACTTCTACAAGCAGCAATTTTGTTAATCCAGGGGGTTATTACTCTGGGCCCTTATTAGGTTCTACACCACTGCCAAGCAATCCTATAACCCTCTCAAAAGAAGTTTACCTCCCTGTTATAAAACCAGTAGTGGTATTTATACTGTGCAATAATTAGTGTATTACTTGAATCCACTAACACGTTCATTTTATCTCTGCACAAAACCTCTAGTCTGCTTATAGAAAGCTTGTGCCTCCTTTGGTGCTGGTAAAGTGGTGAAAGAGTGAATTGAAGGCTGGTTGCACTTTCTCCTTTTGCCTCGCCTTAATTCCCATCTCTTTTTGCTCTCATCCAATTAGCACAGTGTATTAAGCGGTTTATCATCTCATAGTCAGCTATTGAGAGAAACAAGGCGAGCACTTTGCAATAGAACCTGCGCTCCTTTGACACCCTCAGGTACTTACATATTCCACTGTGCTATGAATAATAGAGGAAGAATGGAGCGCTAATTCCCTCATCAAAGAATGCCTTGTCTGCTGCTTTGCTCAACAACACCATTCTGATCAAAAGAAAAGCAATAAAGCTTAGCATAACAAAACGAAACCTACTTATTAGCTTAGTGGTTAAATTAATGCAGAGCCGCTGCTATTCAAAACCAAGGTTTGAAAACAGCCTCCAACAACCTGATAATGCTGCCTTCGGGATGAAGGAATTTTAATCTGAAATTTGAGGCTGGCTCAGATGAGTTAATCTATTAAACTGCTATAAAGAAGCTCCACAGCAAACTGTTCAATTAAGAAATATTTAGGTGAGCAGAGAGCGAAAGAGAGAGACGTGGTGGTGGGGGGTGGGGTAAGGGGGTAGAGATATGGGGCGGGTGGGGGTAGGGGGTGGGGGGTAACGGGATGGAAAGGCCAGTCAGCTTTAAATTGGGGAGGCACTGAATTGAGGGTGTGGGGATTCTGACAAGAGGGTCTGGAGCCTGGTGTGTTTTTTACAAAACCTCAAAACAGGGAAATATGCTCCTGAAGTTTACATCTTTGCATCTCCTGCCAAACTAATTTGAGTGGTATGTTTGAAAAGGCCTGGGTGGTGTGTAGGTGTGTGTCAGAGGTAAGAGGGGCTGGGGAAGTGGGGGCAGTGAATTCATTCCCTTTCCACATCCTCTCCCAAACTCCAATCTGTGAACTCTGATGAGCCCCCATGCCTAGGGCAACAGTCACGATATTAACTCCATCTGCTTCCCGGACAAATTAAAATCTTACCGAGCACGTTCTTTGTAGGAGTCTCAACTTCTGGCCTCCCTTATTCCCCCTTATATGAAGAGGACTCGCCAGCGGC